ACATCTGTAGAAAATCCTTGTTTGGAACTTTTAAACCCCTGACCCAACTATTCTCTCTTACTGATAACGGAGGAAAATTAGGAAATTTTGTGCTGGGAGAGAATATTTTTATATTTGTTTAAAACTTGGCATTTCAATTGGCTTGATCCCATTGTGTTGGGACTTTCTGTTTCCTGTAAGCATAAATAAATTACAAGATTGAAAATGTTAACACAATGAAAAGCATTTACTGAGTGAGGCAAAGCCAACAATCTGGGAAGCTAACAGCCACCAGGTTGGCTCTGGTGAAGACTGTACACATGCTTCTAGGGTTCTGGGTGGGAGTTTAGATGATATGTGTTTTACAAAGTAGAATTCAATGAAGGCCTATATTATAAACAGATCATTCCAGATGGAAAATTACATACACACAGACAACATCTTTTGCCTCTTCTTTGAAGTTATTGCCTAAGCCCATCAAGTCCTACTTTTCTGGAAACCTCAGAAATAAACTGTAGCAGGCATATTGCTTAATTGATCAATTAATTTCTGTTTAGAGGATGACACAATAAGCTTGTGCCAGTAGGCTTCTGCATCAAGATACAAGTCAGGTCAGACTGTCCCCCTAAAATGTGATAATTAATTCATTGCAATGGTTTTTGTGCTCGTTACCCACCTCATGAGATGCAGGCACTTAATCGAACATTCAGTGAGAACGTACTTCCGTGCTTCAGGTGTTGCTCATCATACCTGAAGGGGTTCATAGTTCTTTTCAGGTTAAGGTAGGGCTAAAAGGAAGGCATAATTAATTGAGAAGGTCATCAAGGGCTTCATCAAAGGTGGTCTTTAAAGCTGAGTCTTTTTCCCACCAGGGACTGGATAGGGGTGGAGACGGGCATCTGAGCTGGAGAGTTGAGATAGCACTGTGTTTCTAGGGAATATTTAAAAGTAGCAAAGTGGTGTGGCTGCTGGGTAAAGCAGTTTGGCAGTTCCCCAATAAGTTAAGCATGGGCGGAATAAAAATAAAATTTGCTCGTGGTGGAAAGGGGGAAAGATGGCGTCTCCAGAGAGGGGTGAGTGATGGCTTATGGAGCATCTGGTATAGCTGACTCCATTCCTCTGGTCCTAGAGAGACTACCGAAATCTTTTCGGTATCTCCATTAAGGCTGATCTCTGGAAATGTCTTTCCTACCGAACTGTGGTGAACATGTCATATGAGCATACTTCGGAAGGCAAGGAGACCTGTTAGGAGAACCTTTCAAATGCTAGCGAAGATGAGGTACTTAGTTTGCTTTGTTGAGGTCCAGGTGAAACATCCGGGAGCAGAGAACCAGAACCGAACCATAGGATGGAGACGTGCTCTTTAAAAGGAGGCTGCAGGTGGAATAGACCGATGCAGGGAGGAGTGGTCCAGTTTGAAGTAGCAGCTAAACAAGAGTTGAAAAGTTAGAAGAGGGCAAAGTAAAGAACCCTGGACAGCCCTTATTCCTAAGGAACAAGCAGAGTCGGCAGAAGAGCCTGGAAAGGGACCTGCTGCCTTTGCAGAAGGAAGAGACCCGGGGGAAGGGAGTACTGATGAGAGGCAAGGGCAGAGAGCATTTCAAAAACAGAAGAAATACAAGCCCACGAAAGGATGCTCATCCTCATATGATTAGGGAACTGCAGTGTGATGTCACAGTGTTATGTCACTTCACACTTAGAACGGTCACACTTGATGGGGGCGGGGCGGAATAACAAGTGTTGGTGAGGATGTGGAAAAATCGGAACCCACTTACGTTGCCGCTGGGAGTGTAAAATGGTGCAGCTGCTGTGTAAAGCAGTTCGGCAGTTCCCCAATAAGTTAGGCATAGAATTACCATATGACCCAACTATTCCACTCCAAGGTATATACTGGCCCCAAATTGAAAACAGATGTTCAAGCCAAAAACCATACACAAATGTTCATGCAGCCACTGTTCAGTAACAGGCAAAGGATGGAAACAAATGCCCATCAACAGAATGAATGAACATATGTGGTACAGGATCTGCACACAGTGAAATAGTATTCAGCTGTCAACAAGAATGGAACACAGAAACACACAGCAGCACGATTGAACCTTAAAAACCATCTTTCTTACGTCAGACAAAAGGGCTTGTGTGAGCTCTTGCCTTATGAAATATTCATAAGAGTTAAATCCATGGAGATGGAATATTGGTTACTAGGGACAAGGGAAGGGAGAGATGGAGAACTACTTAATGGGTAAGGGATTTCCATGTAGTGGATGAAATGTAGTGGCCCTAGTTACCGTTGATAGTTGCATAGCATGATGAATGCCCTTCACACAACTGTGCTATACACATGATAATGGCTAATGTGGGAAGCGGTATGTTTTGTGGCTTTTAGCCGAAGAAATAAAATTTGAAACACCAAAGGGTGTAGTTCAGTCCAGTTATTATTATTATTTATGCCTGATCCATAGTTTTTAGTTGAGGCAAAAATGTGAGAAGGTTGAAGGGATTGAAATTTGATAGGCTTGAGGAGAGAATGGTAAACAAGGGAGTGGGCCTGGTGAATCCACAGGGGCCAATTTCCCAAAGAAACTCTGCTGTGGAAGGAGTTAAGATCAATGTATTATTATCCATGCCATGCCATGAGCTGGAAGGCCGTGTCTCTGTATTGACTTGTGGGTCTGTTCTTCCGCATAGACTGGCTTTGTTTGACCAAAGACACGAGTGCTACAGTCTTACTCCTCACCTCTGTTGTTAC